TGTTTATCAAAAGTTACTGTGGAAATGGTTTGTAAAAAATGAAGTAATTACCCCTCACATTTACATGAAACACACACGTATGTAACGTGTGTCTGTGTATGTGTGTATATGTGTGTGTGTGTGTATATGTGTGTGTGTGTGTGTGTGTGTGTGTGTGTGTGTGTGTGTATGTGTGTGTATGCATATATACATACATATATAGGTGTTTATAGATATGTGTGTGTGTGTATACATACATACATATATATATATATGAATATATAAATACATACACACACACACACACACACACACACACACACACACACACACACACACACACACACACACACACACACACACACACACACACACACACACATACACACAAACACACACACAAAAACACACACACACACACACACACACACACACACACACATATATATATATATATATATATATATATATATATATATATATATATATGTATATATAATATTTTTTTACATTTATTTACACGTACGCGGACACATATATGCATATAAACTGTGTGTGTATATTTGTGTGCATGTGTGAGTGTGAGTGTGTGTGTCGGGGGGGGGGGGGGGGGTTATGTATGATATGTATACATTATTTCATTTATATCATATATATTATATGAATTATTTATATGTTCATTATTAATATCAGACGGAAGCCACTTCGTTATTGCTGTAAATAAGGTTTATTATAGTGATTGTAATAAACATTATGACAATAACAAGATATGTATTAACAATTGGTCAAGAAAAATACTTGAAGTGCTTGAAAAATAATGTCAGTAGTAATAATATAATATGTCAGTAGTAATAATAATACTAACAACAATAGCATCACTCCCAGAATATACACCAAAGCTGTAAAACCTCAATTAATTATTCCGTTTTCGATCATTTCGTCAAACATACACAGGAATCTTGGCCGCAGTATTGCTGACTTCGCAACCAACTTCTCCAAAACATTTTTTACAGATTCCGAAAAGTCTTCCTCGTTATCCTCAGCAAGGTCTCCTTCGCACAGAACTATTACAGTCGCCAGCAACGCCAGCAAAAGGCCATATTCCAGGCGGTTGTTGTACTCCCGACGAAGCTCCTGCCGGGAGAAGGGCAGAGAAGACTTCCCCGCTTCTGTGACGCCAAGAAAAGCCGAGTAGTAAGTGCCTAGAAACGACTCAAGGTTTGATGTTCTTACATGGCCTTCTAGACTGGTGTAGAAGAGGTAGGTGAGGTCCGTGGCGAGGGATGCCTGGCGACACATCTGTAGGTCCAGTAACATAACTTCGACAGGAACCTCCTTTTCATTGTATCTGAAAAACAATATTTTTAACTATTAGATTCTTTGTTTATGTGTGTTTTAGTGTATTCTCGGAACTTGAATTCAAACCGATAGTTTAGTTCTAAGTACCTGAAGAGCACGTTGTTGGTCCAGCAGTCCCCATGGCACAACACATCAAAGGGAGGAACTCCTTTAATGTTATTTTCTAGTATCTCTAATATTCTCACTTTGTTTCTTTTGAGCCAGTTTTCCGCCACTTCGTACCCACCAACTTTCTTGAGCATGTCTCTAACCATATCCATTTGATCGGAAAATCTTTCCTGCACGGTTTCTCTTGCATCGTCAGCGTAGTTCAGCCAGTCCATGTTCAGGATTGGGTACTTCTCGGCAAGGTCTGGGGTCTTGACCTTGAGGAGGTACGAGGCTGCGTGGAGTCTGGCCAGTTCCTCGAGGACGAGCTTGGTGTGGGCGACGTCCATGCCTTTCTTGCGGTCGAACATCCTGAATCCTCTGGGGCGAAGGTCTTCAAGGAAAATAACTTCTCGGTTTTCCTCTAAGGACGTGTGGTAACAGTGTGGAACCCTCAGAGGTTCCTGGCCAATTCCATTCAGTTGGGATTGGATATCTTGCACAAGATGCTCATAAAACATTGCTTCTTTTACAAATACAACATACGAGAGCTCTTCAAATGCCTTGAAACGTCTAGGATTGTATTTCACTACATAAGAAACGCTGTGGGTTGTTTCAAGCAGTGAATAAATCACATTGACTCTATCTACAAAAGTTGCATAATTGTCTCCTTTCTTGCCGCATTCCTGGACCGTGAAGGAGACGAGACGAGCGTCGCTTCCCTTGTCGTTCTTGAGCGCCGCCTCGACACTCTCCTGCGTGATCTCGCTCGGACGATGTTCAGACGCTGCACCGCCGGTCTCCACTGGAATATGATATGTATCTATATAATGAAACTAGTATAGATACTGTTATAATGAACATGGTACTCAATTAAAGAAAACATAGATTAGAATGAGACGACTCATTCTTTTCATGATTTAAGAATTTGGTAGCCCCAATGTCAGCGGGTTTTGTTACACACAGATGGCTTTACATGAACTCAGCAGCAAGGAGTCTATCAGTAGGCCCTAGTGACCGATCCTGATTTCCTCATTCCTTGAATTGGCGGGAAAATGTGTTTCTCTTTCCAGTACTATTAATATTGGCATTGTTATTATCTTTATTGATATTATGATTATCTAATTGTTATCAAAATATTAATAACACCAAAGACAATAAAATAAAAGAAGTGAAGCTTTCAAAAAATGAAGGAAAAGGGTAAATAGATGAGATAGATAAGACTAATAGCTGACTCCTTGGTGACTAAGCACTTGCAGAACCATCTATAAGTAAAGACAATAGGTAAAACTTTTATTACAGTGGACATAGCATTGCAGTCTTGCCACCCGCGCTCACTGGGTTAAAAGTTGTCTTGCCCAGGTCTCTTTGTACCTTTGTCAGTTAAGCTTCAGCAGATATTGGTAGACTTCATCAAGTACAGACCTGCTTCTCAAGTGTGATGTGATGCCTGGCCCTACTCACAGAGCAGTAATGTTAGTCTAGCTGTCTATTGTATATTATATTTTAATACATCTCACCTTTCCCTCATAGATACACTCAGAAACGAATATGATTAATTATAGATAAGCACGCGAGAACAGGATAAATGTGGTTTTGCTACAAGACAACCGCGAAAAATATATCGACGCAAAAAAACAAGGGCAAGAATAACTTACTTTTAACGCGTCTCTCTCTCTCAAACCGCGATTACAATGTGGCTAGATCGTTGCTTCCCCGGCCTATTATCAGTCTAAATGCCAGACACGCCATGGAGAAGAAGGCAGACCACTCTTTTCTATCTCCATGTAAGGGAAATTTTTATGAGGTTTGCTGTTGCTATTGACTTGGTTTTAGTTCCAATTATAATATTCTGGCAATGAGATAATAATCATGAATGATGCCAAAGTGACGAAATGTGTTAAAAAATAGTCCTACTGAATGGCATCGCTCGGTTCCTGATTACATCGCAAGGACATCTGCACAATACGTATA